GATAATTCGTCCAACCACGTTAATTCGTCCAAAACCCTCGGAAAGTTGGTGTCCGAATTAACGGAAGTTGACTGTATATGTATTAAATGGCTAAACCCGAAGTAAAGAGGCGGATTAAAACTGGCACCGCGATTACGCATGTCCAACTAAAAAAGCGCATTAACAGCGGTAGTTAGAAATTAATTTTTTTTTTTTTAAAAAAAAAATTGGCTATGGTTCATTCGTCGACGAACGACTTGAAGTCAGAAAAGAAGTTTTTAAATAAAATCTAATTATGGTCCAGTGCAAAAGTTGATACACGAAATTGGCCACCTGATGTATAAATTTGCTAATCGAGTCATGTGAGCACACAAATCAAATAAAATGTCGAATTTCAAATATTCGTAACAAACTCAATTATTTAACTTTCCCATGATGTGCGTTTACCAATACCTTTAAATACTCGACAGGCCAGACGCACCGTCCAGGCTTACCACTACGCAAGGAGGTTGCTTCGGTCCTTGGAATTGGTGAGGCGCGAGCGGTTGCTGAATATAATAGCGACAAAAATAAAAAATTTTAGCGTTTAGAGCAAGAATGCAAGAAAAAGCCTCGATTACAACGCTGTTGATCTCATGCACAGGTTTGTTAGTTATTATTACAGCCGCGATAAAGATGATAAAAGTTGAAGAAATTGATGACTAGTAAACTTTTTTGTCTGCATACATGTTTTAATAAATTTCTACTCACATTCCTCAAACCCAATTTGCAAGTCGGTTTATTTAAGCATGTAAATGAATTTCAAAAATATATATATATAATTTTTTTCTTATAAGCATATTGGTGTATCAACTTGTTTGCGCCGGACCATATCGATAAATGAAACTCAACCATCCGCCTTTAATGTTAGGCTTTCCTATTCAAGACCTCAGTGTCGATGCGTAGACACTTATTCTTGATAATTAATCTATTCTCTGTTCTCTATCAGTAGGATTAAATCAGTGGTCGACAAGTTGGGATATTTTTACAAATAAATAGTATTTGCCACGCGATAGTCGGGCGATTATTCTTATAGGTACAGGTTAGCGGATTTCCCAGCTATACTGGTAATTTGCTAGTGAATAATTATTGATAATGTATTTCGGAATATAAAAAACTATCGCTTATTTACAATTATAAAGGGATCGAAAGAAATTGACGCGGCGAAACCAACTGAAATCTACGATGCTTTATAGCTTTGTTTTATTTTTAGCGTTATTTATCTATAATACACGTGCCAACTTATTATTATATGTAAAACACTATAGATTGAACATTTTTTACGTCACCGCGGGGCCAGGGCTGCGTAGTAGTAGAAATTAGACGTGGCTTCTACTTCGCCGGCTCCCTACTTTTTTCTGGGGCTTTAGTATTAGTGAACTCCATCCATTGTTCGGTTCAATCTCCAACACTTTGTTGAAATCGTTCCGTGCATCATGAGGTCGCTGAAGATTATTATAGACAGCTCCCCTGCTCCTCAATGCCCACGTATCGTTTGGTTCAATCTCCAACGATTTGCTGAGATCCTTCAATGCGTCATCATACTGCTTAAGATTATTATAGACATTTCCTCTTCTGCTTAATGCATATGCGTTATCTGGTTCAATCTCCAATGCTTGGTTAAAATTGTTTAGCGCGTCATTATATTGCTTGAGTTCGAGATAGACGCTTCCTCTTCTACTTAATGCATATGCATTATCTGGTTCAATCTCCAAACATTTGTTAAAATCATTTAGTGCATCCTTATAATTTATGGTATAAAGGTGGACACCTCCTCTTCTACTTAATGCATATGCATTATTAGGTTCGATTTCCAACGACTGTGTGAAATCATCCAATGCCTCATCATAGCACTCACGACTATAATGGACACTTCCTCGCGTATTTAATGCAAGTGTGTTATTCGGTTCAATCTCCAATGATCTGTCAAGATCCCTTAATGCATTATCATACTGTTTAAGATTGTAATAAACACTTCCCCTATTTCTCAGTGAGCATGCATTATTTGATTCAATCTCTAACGATCTGTTGAAATCATTTAATGCATCATTATACTGATTGAGATTGTTATAGACACTTCCTCTCTTACGTAAAACCCATGCATCATTTGATTCAATCTCCAACAATGTATTGAAATCATTTAATGCGTCACTATACTGCTTGAGACTGTTATAGACACTTCCCCTGTTTCTCAATGCATATTCATCATTTGGTTCAATTTGTAATGATTTATTAAAATCATTTAATGCATCCTCATATTGCTTAAGTTTGAGATAGACGCTTCCTCTTCTACTTAATGCATATGCATCATTAGGTTCACTCTCCAAAGATTTGTTGAAATCATTTAGTGCATCCTTATAATTCATGATATGAAGGTAGACACCTCCTCTTCTACTTAATGCATATGCATTATTCGGTTCAATTTCCAACGATTTGGTGAAATCATCCAATGCCTCAGCATAACGCTTAAGCCCATGATAGGCACTTCCTCTATTTCTCAATGCGCATGCATCATTTGGCTCAATCTCCAACAACTTGTTGAAATCGTTCAATGCGTTATTAAACTGCTTAAGACTATTATAGACATTTCCCCTACTTCTCAACGCATAATCATTATTAGATTCAATGTCCAACAATCTGTTAAGATCCCTTAATGCATCATTATACTGTTCAAGATTAAGATAAATACTTCCTCTATTTCTTAATGCGACTGCATTATCTGGCTCAATCGATAATAGTTTGTTAAAATCACTTATTGCATCACAATACGTTAATCTCCTGTAGACAGTGTCACAGAATGGCCGCTTACTGGGGTCCTCATCCCAACATTCTGTATACAATTTAATATATTCTTCAGGCGTTCCAGGAAAGGGGGCGTCCCGGCAACGTTTGCTTCTGTAAATAAAAATTGCATAACTTTCGGTGCGTCCTTCGCAAGGAATCTTTCCACTGGAGATCTCCCAAAGTATTACTCCAAGACTGAAAATATCGGATTTCTTTCCACGTCTGTTTGGTTTTTGATTTTCTTCCAACTCCAAATTTCCGTTCGGCTTAGCAAAATAAAAAGATGCCGGATCTTTATATGCTGGAGTACCGTTACCACGTGATGTAGACAATTCTCGTTCCAACACGCGAGATAAGCCGAAATCAGTTATCTTTGCAATGTTCGATTGGATAAGAATGTTATTGGAACACTACATAAATTGGCGTAACAGAGATAATAAATATAAATTGAAGCAAAAGAAGAGGTGAGGTTGAACCAAGCAAGCTGCAATACTAATACAGTACCAAATCCTTGTGGATAATATCAAACGAGTGCAAGTATCTTAACCCATCGACAATTCCTAAGCCTAATTGATATTTGTCTTGCCACGTCAGTTTCTCAAAGTGCTTCTCAAGATGCTGG